TTTTTTATATTTAAAGAATTTGCCACTGACGATTCAAACGCGAGTTTTGGGCAGTGTAGTGTAGGGCTTGTTGTTTGTCATTTCTCCGATCACAAATGCAGACATGGTTTTGTTTACGCGGCACGATGCAACGCAACGCGTAAAAAGACAGTATAAGTCATTATAATCCGTAATTATGTCCCCACTGGATGCAACAAATGCCTCGTTTATAATGGGTTTTCATGTTTTTGAATCGTCACTCCGGCCTGACAAGGGCATCACAGTATGGGAGGGGAGTAACATTACCATCACACGCTTGAGGTATTCGGCCAATCACAACGCACTGGATAGCTGGCCAATCACAGCACACCTCGCTTTTTAGACCGATGAGCTTTGTAAAAATCGAGGCGTTTCAGAAAGGCGGGGCATAAAGGAGAAGCAATAACGTACAGTATGTGGAAAATAATGTGTTTTTTGGACCTTAAACTGCCTAAACACATTTCAATACACCAAATACACAAAATAATGTTCTTTTTAGCAACATCATATGACCCCTTTAAAATAAAATATATTTAATAAGATCACCTTTAGTATGATACAGCAGACAGTAGTGCTAAGGCACTGTAAAATAACTAATACAAGCTACGGTTACAAACAGGGGTCCCATTTGTGCAGGGGCCCCATACACTTTTGAAGTGTATCACCGCATCACTGCGACATCGAGAACCGCATGTTCGGAAATCTGAATTGCAAAAAAAGTGTTGACAGAAGTAGACATGGCCTAGTTCTAGGACTCTCGCACTTCGACTGATTTTGAGGCGGAATGTCGGACACGTCTGACACGTTTTCTGATTGAGTTGTTAACAGTGTTTGGAACAGACACAAACTGCCCTAAACGACTCAGTTCGATTTGGCGAACCGGTTCAACTGGTTTACTGAAAAGAACCGGTTCAAAAGAACGATTCGATTCGTTCACGAACCAGATATCACATTCCAAGCCGGGCAACAGAAAAGTTTTTTAAAATGAGTCTGCAAAAATAAATGAATATCAAAAAGTAGTGAAACCCACCAAAGAAAAGGCTCATCATTGAAGGATAGTTGCTCAATCAGAGTGCACTGCAGGGTCACACAAAGTTCGATCAATGATACGCCCACAACAATCTAAATATTTAACCTGACATTTACTGCAAATAACATGGAACGATTTCATCTAGCATGTCACAGAGTTTAGGCTACTATAATGAAAAGAAGCCAACACATTAGTCAAATCTGACATTAACTTTACATGAACTAGGCGACATTCTTTTATGCACGTTTGTTTATTTAAAACAAAAAACGTTTTCGCTAACACAAGACTAATTTACGAATGTACGACACGAAACAAGCATGTGCCCTTTGTCAAAATGAATCAGTCGTTGCGCACACAGGCTATGTGACTATTTGCTTGCATTTTTAAGCAATCTACATGTAGCCTATGTTGATATTACACTTACCATACCTTTGCACGTCCAGATTGGAGTTGTTCCTCTGCAGGAAAGAAGGATTCAGCAGACACTGTTGCTAGTTATTTCAGCACAACTGTATTGCAGACCAGCGATCAGACTACCAATAGCGTTATTATAAACGCAAGGGGGTGGAACCGAAAGTTTCCGTTTCCACAGTTTTAGAAGCATATGCTGGAATCATAGTGTAAAAACGTGACAAATGTGTAGGGCTGTATAATGTGCCGCGTTG